CACGAGTACAATTGTGTTGATTATGAGGGGCACAGGCTTGCGTTTGTGCTTCTACTGGTATCTGTTGCTTTCTATCGCCACCACATGGGCCTGGCTATTATTTTAAGTGATTTCAGCTCGTATATTTGCTTTCTGCTTATTTCTAACTTATCCCTTCACTTGCATGTCGATCGATGCAGAACGGTGATTGGAGGAGTTGGATTGCATACACAAAATAAGTGGTATCACAGCACTGTAACGTTATGTTGGATCGTTATAGTAGACAACGTTGGTGGCAAAAAGTATATGTGCTAGTGCTGGTGCTGGTGCTAGTGCTGGTGCTGGTGCTTTTAACAAATGTACGCCCAATTGTTGCACGTTTATTGACAATCGGTGGCACGTTGTGTTATTCATCAATTCGTCAAACACACCATGGATACGAATACGGCGTTGGATTGCCATTGTCAACGTTGGAGGAGCTGCAACCAGTTCGAGCTCTTGTGCAGTGTGTAGATTAGGCGTGCACACGATTTATGTGACATTTACAGTCGTCAATAGTCTTAATTGCTTTGGTTTGTAATATTCTGCTTTTCTCGATTTTTAAGTTTCGTTATAAATAAAATGGAATAAAATATTAGTTCGAAAAAAAACAGCAATTAACTTGTGCTTTATGAGAAATTTTAGTTTAAATTGTGGTGTGATTTTATTTAAAAATTAAGTTATAGGGATTGGTTCTGTTAACTACTTACTCAATACGTCGTGAAATAATGTCTACATGGACCAACCATTAAGTAAAAATAGGCTGCTATATATCGCTACTTCAGGATTATTATGATAACATGTTCTTCACTATATATTTCCGTTATTGGATATAGTATTTCTCTATGCAATAGTATTTCTCTATGCAATATAAGTATTTAGCACTTGATACGAGTTCAGTAAGGTTAATACTTCACATTTAGTATGTGAAAGTGATTTTTATGTTAAATGTAAAATCTTTCTGGAGGCAATCTAAAAAGTTGGGCTTTTGGAACATTGAAACTGTAGATGCCAATATGGCTCTGCTTGTGGACGATCAGAAAGTCAGTTTTTCGATTGTGTCTTTGAGCACAAATATTGGCTTCCAAGTAGTCCAAATATACGATTAATTTAACTAGACTAATGACCTTATACATCGTCATAGAAAATAAGCCACCAATGACAAATTACATTACCGTGAGGGCCAATTCTCAGCATCATTACGTGTAATGATACGTGTACGATGCACGCCATTGGACAGTTTTTTTTAACAAGGAATAAATGTGTCAAAACCCTTGCTTATTGAGTGACTATAACATCTTCCCGGACATTTGTCGATGAAATGGATTAATCTTTCTGCAACCACCGTCAAATGGAAACCGCATGAAGTACTTCTGCTCAATCGTCTTTTGGTGATCACGTTCGTTGCTTGTAAGTTAATCGTTCTGCAACTGCTTTAATTGTTTTAGTGATCTAGGGTTTCGCCATTATATTCACTGCAGTAGAAAAAACATTACCCATAGAATGTTTTCTACAATAACATTAGTGGGTTACAGAATATGCTACACATGTTAAGATCTATTGTTTTTACCAAAGTTGTTTTTCTTAAAAAATATATAATCAAAAAATCACTATACCATATACCATGGACTTGGAATGTCACAACTAGTAGTTTTTTTGTGGAAATATATACTAATAGTTCCTCCAGCTGTAAAGCCACACCAAAGTCTATTTATGCTGATGTGAGAAAATACACTGCGAATCAAAGGTTATTTATTATAATGGGTTCCACTAAAAACAGTGTTGCCAACATAAAATTCGAATCTTCAGTGTATCATGTGTTTAACGCAATGAATATCTTCTTCTTAGTGGCATTCATTTGTCGAGGTATAAAAATACTTCATTTTTTGATCTCTTCTAGGTAAGTGTGTTATTAACCATATAGACAGTCGAATATTTCATCACGACTGATAATGTCACGCTTCATTTATTAACTAAAATTTGTTGTATCAATTTTTTTTCAATTTATATAAGTAAAATAGACTTTCAAGATTGTGAGAGGTAAGTGAAGTTTTTGCTTTGTGCTCAATACTAACTATTAATTAGTATGAAATACTATATACTGTAAGTCAAATGGTCTATTGTGCTAAACCCAATCATTTTATTAAATCGTAAATATGTCATATGACAGTCATATAAAACAACGAAATGTCAATTTTAAGATCTTTTTTATACAGAGAATTATATCCCAACCTAGTACTACTGATTTAGTACTTTTACTACCATTTTAATACTTTTTGCCTGTGCCTCAATTTAAAATGTTATTGCTTTGAATTGGATATGTGCTGTATATCATCACAAAAATGCACATATTTGCTCTTAAAAGGCATTAATTTTGACACATATTACTATATGTATAAAACAAATAATATTAATATTTAATGATGTACTTATATCATTCATAAATGAAATTAAATTATATTGTTTTTTATGGTTAAACTGATTCGGCTACTAAAAAAGACATAATCGGCTTAATTTTTATCGTTCTCTTATTCTAAGAGAAGGATAATTAGTTTACTTTGAAAACAACAAGTTCCCCTTTGATGTTCCCAGTCTACATAACACAGTCTTTAAAAGCAGAAAACAATTTGACATTTGGTGTCATCTCGATGGTCTGCTTAAGATAGTTTTCAAAACTCCTTTATTTGCGGTTGCTTGATTATAATAATATAATCATATTATAAGCAATAATTATGTATTATTATGTTATTATATTATGAAGTTCCGTATTACCACATCAAATTCTGTATTATCCCTAATACTCATAATAGACGTAGGCGTCAACTAACAAATATTTTAATAAAAAAATTACATCGAAGACTCTTTTATGGTGCAATTAAATAAAAATATCGAATTAGTTGGATAATTTTTTCATAAGTGGCATAATTTTCAATTGGAAATTTCAAAACATACGTTACCCAAATTTATGTGCCTCATTTGCAGCGCAATAAAAGCTTCAGCACTTCTGTCGGCTCTTTAGAGCCTCTTCAAATGAAAACCCCGCGCGTCTGGCGCAAATATTTTAATGAAATAAATTAACTAAAAATCAAAGTATTTCGGCTAATAAATCTATAAAGCAATCAGATAAGTTTGCCCTTCACTGCAACTGAATCCAGATTCCCTACCGCTCCATACACGAAATCTAACAGGTGCCAATTGTTCGCTGCCCCAACAATCGTCCGCCAAGCAATACAAACAAAGGGAAAGATACAAATTCTAGAAATCGAATTATAGCGCCACTGCCAAAAACATCCGAATCCGAATTATTTTAAAAATAATTACGAAAAGAAAATATAAAATCATATGAAAAATTTAGTATGTACTTCTTTAGTGCGTCCGTGGCGAGGCGAGGCGAGCGAGACCGTTTGATCTTTTGAATATAAAACAAACGCAGAAGTCTTTGATGTTTGCTGCCGTAATGGGTTATGGCTTATGGCTGTTGTTTTGTGGGGAATTCTTTTCGGAACCGAATTGCTGTTTTATTAGCTCAGTAAGTGGCGAAAAACGATTCAAAGATGCAATCAGCGCGAACGTTTATTGTGAGCGATTGCGGCTAATTAAACAGTGGGAGTGGCAATTAAGTTAACTTAAATTGCTCATTCGCCACCAAGTACCAGGCAAGCTTGAAAAACATTAATTACTCATACGCATTCATTGGGAGGTCTCTCTTCAATTAGTTAGCATAAAAATGAAATAAATTTTTCCTGTGGTATTTGCACCTCATATAGAATACAGAATGCAGAATACAGAATACTCGTAGAATGAATAGTGATGACGGTCTTCGCATTTTGTTGATTCTCAGTCTTGTTTGCTTAATGGCAGTGCAATGGAAACTAGGCGCAGGCGCCTTTCCGGTCCCAGAGCAGCTACTGTTTGCATTTCATATGCAATCGCAAATGCGCTGCAAGTAAATAATAATGAGTTTGCTGCATTGTATGCAAATTTAGTTTCCATTTAACATCGCCAGAAATACTAATAGCATTGAAATAGCATTTACTGAGTATGTAAATAATACTGAAAAGTTTACTCTTAGTTTAAGCATTCTGCATTACATACGAGTATACTATATATACTTAATATAGAGAATAATAAACAAAATATTTTTGAAGAATAAAATAATATTTTGCCTTGGTTTGGTTTGGAACTAACAAAAGCTTTAATAAATTAAATATTGTTTCGTTTTGTTTGGAGCTCATTATGGCACTTACAATAATATTTGTTTAAGAAAAACATATATGAACAATGCTTAATTTAACATTTATATGCAAAGCAACTACAATTAATGGACGTATTAGCTCCTCTGCAAGCCGTCACTCGAAGTGCCAAGCATATACATAGTGGAATAAAACAATTACAGCCAGCAGCGCTTCTATGCAATGCTGGATATGAATAGAGTGCCAAACGATTTGTCATTTTTTGTCAAATCCCTTGGTAAAGGCTGGAATCAATACTTCTGAATAATGCCATGAATTTATGCCTCTGACAATGTTGCAATGGACATGGCACAGTGGCGCATAAATATTTTTTATTCGCATTTACTGCAAACCGTACGTGCTTCACCATTCAACGATATCTCACCATAAATGCACCCAATAGTTCAATGATTTATTAAGTGTTAATAAAGAACTTAAATCCGTTGGTTTGAATATTGCAAATTATAATTTGTTGTACTGCCACTTCTCTATATATATCGGTTTTTTATTTGTTAATTTTAATTTATTTTCCTGAAAAATTCTCATAAAGCCTACCATTAGTAGAAAATAAAAAAATTATTGATTTAACATTTATTTTTAGAAATTCGTCAGAAGAAATCATAGCAAATATTAAAAGATTTGTATTATTTATAAATAATTATTTTTAATAAATAAATTATAGAATAATTGATAAACGTTAAAGGTAAACTTAGCTTGGATTGAAGGCCTTGTTATGTTAGGTTGGATGTAGTGTCATTTGAAAGGATAGCTAGTTAGTGCTTCTCTAGACAAAGATGGAACACATCTATAGTCGGTATATAAAGTTAGTATAAATTATATTATTATGAATGCATGTTAGATTGTGCTGAGTAGACGAGAAAAAAATTCCTTAAGGTATCACAATGGATGCTTGACCATTATGAGTTTCGTTGCATTTTGTTGCGGGATTGGAATAATATAATAATCATAAACTCATAGCTTTAATATCAAATAACTTTATATTCCTGGACTATATTTATATTTTTGAACTAAAATGAGAATCATTCAAGAGCAACAACTACTGCAATTGCTGAAAAGTTTCAAGGTCGACATATAGAAGGCGTATCTATCAAAAAAACCATATGTGTTTCAGAATCATATTTAAGCAATCATATATATATATAGAATGATTTTAGTGACGTTTGTAAACAATGACGTAAATCATTGCTTATATTTTCACGTATTACCAAGCTAACTTGCGGCCCACTAGCGGAAACGGGCATTAAGCCGAAAGAAGACCAAACTAACAACCTACTCAGCCATCAAAGATAAGTGTTAAGGCAAATGATGAAGCAGTATCGTTGTGCCGCTCGACTCTTAAGCTATATGAAACAATTAATCTTCATTTAATTTGGATTTCAAGCACTGTTGATATCGTGAATAGAGTAGTAGGTATGTCGTCAGCTTATCCGATGACTAGATAAGGCTCTTTTCTTTTGGATAATACGCACACATTAAAGATAGGAGCCTCTAAATCTTCCTTTGAAAGCCAAAATACAGATAGCAGTTGCAGTTGCTTTGGTATATGGCACAGAATAGATAAAACAATTCAATATTTCAAGGTAATCTTGGCTTAAT